CTTGAAAGTGAATGGATCTAATGCACACACAGAGAGAAACAATTTAGTGTAACAATTAAGATACCAGGCTAGAAATTGGGAGACCATGAGTTCTAGTTCTACTTGAGATACAAAGCCAGTCTTGTGACCTTGGTCAGTCACTTTCTCACAGACCTGGAAAGAAGGCAATCACAAACCACTTTTGAAATCTTGCCCATGAATTTGCAGGGACTTGTCATAAGGAATAATCCTGATTCAAAAGCACAGGAAAAAAACCCTCACACAGAAAACATAATACAACATCGACTTCTTCGTTCAATGATGTTATCAGAGATATGCTATAGTATAAACCAAAGGTGGAGAACCAGGATTCTTAATACTTGAGTATAACTCCTAGCATGATCATTTGTCATGGCCAGTGGAGAAAATTAACAAGAGTTGTAAATCAGTAATATCCAGAAGGGATATTTCTCTTTTCTGGCACATGTGAAACTATTTCCGCTACGGACACAAGACACTGTATTAGAGAATCATGATTGTATTGAACCCTTAAAAAGATCCTATGAGTAAGAACCTGAAAAAGATACATCAAAATTTCAAGAATGAAGCCCTAGACACATGTGCCTGTGTCTTCCACTTCAAGCATTTTGCCTAGCTGTCTTCAGGAGCTGTCATTTTAAAGTTTTTAATAAGAATGTCTGTGGTCATTAACGTTACTGGACTCACTACCTTCAAGATAGGGATTTATTGGACCAGCAGATAGAAGTGCCATTCTCCTTCAGCCATCGATAAAGAATCTGCCAAAGATGTCATAATGAAACCTAGTTTATAATCAATGCTTGCTCTCTATGTTCTAAACAGGATCATTATAATCAAACAACAGAGTCTGGGAAATATGGCTTAGGCAGCTAAAATTGTTTTGCTGTTAGAATTCAGCTCAAAATCTCCATCTTAAAATTGCAGAAGAGTGACAGGGAGGCCTTGCTATTTTACAAATGGAAGTTAGCTTCCTTTAGCTTCCTCCAAGAATCAGAGGGATTTTTCTATATAGCATTTATGTATGTAAATTTATTTCTGTAAAGCTTTATGTCCTAAGCCTTGTATACCCTCTCTCACTGTAGAGAGCACCTGGTGCCACTCTCTAATTTCATCAAGTTTTGATAGCAGGTCTTGTGCAGGTGATTTTTTATTCTCCAATAGCCAGACTGTAACCCAAGTTATAAAGTAAAAAAAATAGTAGTTAAGATTACAGTTAAAATATCCAATTCCATGTATATAGATACCCCACCCCCATTTTTGTGTTTTGTTATTTGGAATTTGCTAGGTACATTTTGAAGCAAGCACTTTTATAATTTTAAACTAACAGTCTAAAGTCACATATGCTGCTTAAGAGATGGGTTTTTAGTTCTCAAAAAGAATGAGATCATTGCTTTATTCCTTCCAAGTATCGTGATCTTACCTAGATTAGAATACACAGGAGGGAGAAAATTAATCCTAAAGTACACATCGTCTCTGCTAAATTAATGTGTCTGTACATAAGGGTACATGTGCAGCCCAGAGCCAAGAATCACCAAAGCTCAGGACAAATATAAATATATTAAGCACAATTTCAGACACTTTAAGCTCATTGCATTATTACTCCAGAGGGGGATAACTCCCCATTGTTTGTGAGGGGAAAAAAGAGGAAAAAAAGGTCAGTCTTCTGACCCACAGTTCAGGAAATTATTCCGTTCCAGAGGTAATCAACCTGTCATCGAAATAATTCTCCATTCAGTCATTGCTTATAAAGCATATCTAGGTTGCCTGTCTAAATTGCTATGGGTACTAATCATATTTGGATAGACAACATTTGGCCCATGACCTACAGTAGTAATGGTTTCAAGTCCTCCATTTATCTCAGATAGTTTCCCAAGATCCCTAACTATCAAATTTGGGACTCATTCAGAAGATCTTCCTCCTATAGTGTAGAACAGGGCTTTTCAACCTTTTCACCCATTGTACCACTTTTAGGATATGATAATATCCGAGTACCACCAGTCACCTAGCAAGGTGTCAAAAACTTGATGACAAAAAAAAGGAAAAAAAGGAAAAAAGTGATAAAGTACAGACATCCTCAACTTACAACAGTTCGCTTAGTGACTGTTCGAAGTTACAATGGCACTGAAAAAAGTGTCCCCCAAGCCACAGCTGAGCAAGACACCTGCCCGCCCACCCAGCGGTGCTCTTCCTCCTGTTTGAGGTTTTCATTGTTGTGCGCATTTCTGTTGAGGATTGGCAGCAGATGTGAGATGGGGGAGGTGTTAGGTTTTTATTCCCCCCCCCCGCCCGTCTGCTGGGTGGTTGCAGCAGGTTTTGGTCACTTTACATGACCCTGGCACACTGTGACCGTCATAAATATGAATCAGTTGCCAAGCATCTGAATGCAAATCACAAGACCCTGGAGATGCTCAACATTCCAGCTGATTGGCGCTTCTTCTGGGCTCAGCAGAAGCGTCAGGATCAGCGCTGAGCTCCAGCTGGAGCCTGGCGCTGATCCTGGTGCTTCCACTGAGCCCTGACAGCCCCGAAGAAGTGCTGATCATCTGGAAAGCGGCACTGATCCTGGTGCTTCTGCTGAGCCCTGACAGCCCTGCTCCAGCCATCTCTCGCTCAGGCTTATGCGGTGCTGCCACTGGTTCAGCTCATTCCCCTCCCCTGCTACCACTTTTCTAGGATGGTACATTGCCAGGTACCAATGTACCACAGGTGGTACCCGTACCACTGGTTGAAAAGCCCTGGTGTAGAAGGTCCTCTTTTCAGAAAATATTTTTTAAAAGTTACTGAATTTCCTTTTCTGTATCTAACAATGCCAACGGCAAAATAGCTTACCCATTAAAATAGCGTATGTATGGATATTTAATTAAATTTCATTACATTTATGAAGAACATAGGATATTTTATAACAGAACTTTAAAAGGAAGCTTGTATCTCTTTTACTTAAGTTTGATTTAAGGAACTGATTTAAGCAGGCTTGTGTAAGAGTCTGTTGGTTCCCTACACTTCTAATGCTAAATTTGAAAACAATCCAGGAAGAGGAAAAGAGAAGTCCAAAGTAACGCTGAAGTGAAAATTTGAAATAATATTCAGATTTTATGTAAGGCACACAAACAGAAGATATGTCTATGGCATAGGTTTCCCAGTTACTATAAGCTTCTACAGGATTATATGCTGATAGGTCTTTCTGCAAACTCAGATATCTTAGGGTTAGCAAATTGACAGCAGAACCACAGTGTAATTAAGTATATCTCGTTTCATTTAGGATATCTAAGCAATGTCAGCTGCCACAGAAATAAAATTTAGGTTACCAAAAAGCATCCTTCTTCAACTGAAAACATTGCTGAGGCCACAGAGGATAAGGCTTGAAGCTGCAAGGAGTAGAGTCTGTTCTGCATAACTCTGCATCATGCTGATGATTCTTTTTGTAATGTTAAAACTTCTTTCAAGGGCTGGTTTTGTTACATAGGTGTAAACATATATACCTATTTTGGTGGTTACATATGATTTGGGATAGTTACAATAGTAACACCCTCTCTCTTAATGGTGAGATTAATTTTAATCTCAAGAGGTTCAAAATCTGATTCTTTCACCTCTGCACTGAATGAAAACTATTTTTTTTAAAAAAATATAAGGCTTTTTTTGTACTCAAGAGGCAAAATCATATAAGTAAAGTAAAATAAATAAATAGGTATTTTATTCACAAGTCAATGGTTTGGAGAACAAAGCCTTTTCAAACATCACTTCTGGCTGGTTGGCGAAAATCAAACTGCAAATTTTGACATTTTTTTTTCTCATATATATTTAGACCTACATACCTATATACTCCTCCTTATGGGTGGTATACATCCTTTTCAATCTCGGGTCCTCTACAGGGCCCTTGGAGCGGGACGGCTTTGTGCAGGATCTTAGCTGTTCCTATCACTGCACTCTTCTGGAGCTCTGATGTTGTTCCTGGGATCTGTTGGAGCTACTCTCCCAACTTAGTAGTCATAGCCCAAAGTGTTCTTACCACCACTGGGACCACTTTGGTCTTTATTTTCCACATCCTCTCTCATTCCTCCTAGCACTTCTCCAGCTTCCCATACTCCTTTTTTCTGATGTTGATGTCACTTGGACTGCCACATCTATCATCATCATTCTCTTCTGGTCCTTGTCTGCCACCATAGTCTGGTTGATTGGCCAGTACCTGCCTGTCTTTCTCAATCTGGAAAAGTCCCATAGGATCTTAGCTTTCCTATTCTCCATGATCTCCCGTGGGATCTTCCATTTGGATGTTGGAGAGTCTATCCCATATTCTATACAGAAGTTCCTGTATACTGTGGCAGTTATTTAGTAGTAGTGCCATTCAGTGTATGTTATTTCTGCCAGTATCTAACACACACACATACAGACACACACACAGACACACTTGTAATTCATGGTTTAAAATGCATCCAAGTAAACCAGTAGAAGTATCTTGAATGCTACCATGTTTTATTTAAATCTATACAGTTTATACAAGCAAAGCATTATGTTCTTGTCAATGTCGCCAACAGAAATCCCCTGGAGACATTCTTTAAAGGGCAGATAAGTTAGTCAACATCAATTGTGTGACCCAGGAATGGTTTCCAACAGGCCAGACAATATCCTTTTACAGAAGGGACAGATGGCAGAGCACAACCCAAAACAAAATTAGGAATGTTGCACCACAGATGGAAAGGCAAAGAGTCATATGTTAAAAGGTCATTCAAGACATGGAATCAGTTTCCAGTAGGAACTGAAGATAATACCTTAAACAAATCAAAGAGTGGGCTATAGCACTATGGAGGAATAATTCTGCTTGCATGCAAAAATTTCCAGGTAGGACCAAAACAACTCTGTCCTAAAACCCTCCAAAACTACTATTGACAGGCAAAATAGCTGTCTATATTTGACTTAATCTAATATAGTTTCCTTGGGACTTTACTGTTTGCTCTACTCAGATAGTATACTGAATGAGTACATACCCATGGTTGTTCAAAGCTGTAAGTACGCCTCCTGTCTTCCACATCTTCGTCTTGCTTGGCTTGTTGAAATTCTTGCCTTAATCGTTGTATCCGGTCATGATTGCTTGGAGCTGATCTGTTACAAAATAAGACATGAAAACATAACTGATAAGTTCTTTCTTCAAATCCTAACATTTTCTTTTTCTAGTAAAAATTAGTACTTATAATAAGAATGTTATAGTTAATTCTATTTCTTACCACAACTTAAAATATACATGCCATATCAGGCACAATATTAAACAAAACTTTGGATAAGGAATACACATATTATTATATTGCTACTGTAATAAGAAATATATTATGGATGGATTTTTGAAACCTCATGGGAAAAAAATCAGTACTATGTTTATGTCTTGTTATTTTACCACAAATGCTTAGACTCCGATGAAAGAAATCCTTCTTAATGTAAACACAATTTAAAACAAATATGCATCTTCTAAGCCTTCTTCAGTTCATCTAATCCAGTGGTTCTCAACCTTCCTAATGCCGTGACCCCATAATACAGTTCCCCATGTTATGGTGACCCCCAAGTCGGTGTGGCCATCAATAAGAGAGAGTAGGACAGCTAGGGAAAGGGGAAAAAATGGCGGACAGCGTGGTTTGGCGACCCCCGTGAAATGGTCGTTTGACCCCAAATGGGGTCCCGACCCACAGGTTGAGAACCACTGATCTAATCCATAAGAATGTAACAAGAATCCTTGCATCAGGTCAAAAACTCAACTGGGGCATCATGCTCTTACCAGCTGGTATTCAGAAGGCTCACAAGCATGGACAAAAATCATGCAGAAGAAATTATCAATTGGCAAATCCAAATAAAATTTCCTCAACAAAACAGGAACTATTACTATATGCATTTAAGGCATATGGGCATGTGAAGACTATATTAAAGGTTTTTAAAGAAAGGCAAACATCTTTTAATGAGATCTCCCTGTGACAGTTAAATGTTACTCATTTCAGATACTCTGCAGATTTATGAATTTCATTTCAATGGGTTTTGTCAATGTAATTTGCAGATGACACTATTAAAATATGTTTCCTTGTCAAGAACTTCCTACTTAGGTCTGCTTCTGACAAGAAGTTTGAACTTATCAGTTTAACATTAAAAGGTTAATAGGCATGTGATACATTTCAACATGTGAATCTCCCACAACATTTATCAGGAATCATATCATGCTTACAAGAATAGATATGGCCCTTTCTCTCCTAAAGGCCTCTCCTAAAGTTTGATTTGATATGAAAGCTCAGTTCTCTGTGCACTTATTTTGGAAATACAATCCATCAAATTCAGTGGAATTACTTTTCACTTAACAACCTTCAGGTTTGCAGTATTATTTTTGGATGATCTAAAATTATTTAACACATCATAACAATAGGCAAAATATTACGCTTTTTATAATATTAATGACAAAGAAGAAACTTGGGTTCTTATTTTTGAGGTTTTTAAGAATCTGCGAGAAAAATATTGTAAGGGCCCCCTAAATTGTTTCTCCAGCATATAAAGAAAAAGAGAACCAGCCAAGGCAAACTCAAGATTTTTTTTTTATGTTAGATGCAATGGACATAATAATGCTCCTTCCCATTCTACATCAACTAAATAACAACTAATTTCCTTTATTTCCACTTTGGGAATCCTTCATCACACCTGAGTGAATGAACAGATAGCTGAGACATCAAGAAAGAACTATGAAACTTTAAGATTTGCCTTATATTCTCAAAGAGAAGAAATAGTTAAAAAGCTGAGGTTGGCTCATGCATTGTATTTGGACACTCCAGCTATAATTTTTCTCAGGGCTCCTTGGTGTTCTTTGACCATGCTTGATTACCCAAACTAGGTAACATCATCAGTGTTAGTAAGGACCCCTCATTTCAACCCTGAACTACAAATATTCTTCTTTAGCAGTACATTTTTTTTCTTTTTTAAAGTATTAGGGATTGATATTTAAGGCATGTGTTGCACACCTTAATCTCTCAGTTAGAGAATTTCAATATACTAGCTATATGACAAACTATTCTTACATTTATTTTTTAATAAATCATAGATGTTAGTCCATCTTTCTATAGCCACAAAGGAGAAAAAACACAGAATCTGATCAGAACTTTAGGGACACAATATGAACCTGGATGAATTTCTATCTAAAAGCTAATAAAAGGAGTACTTCCCTAATATAGCTCACAAGAATAGAAAGATGGGGACTTCCAGTTTGCCATCATGGACGCCGGAAGGCGAGCTCCGTCTTCCGCGTTCAATTTTGTTCTGCTGGGGGACTCTGGAAAGGTCAAAGCTCACCCTGTAGGGGCAATGAGCAAGGAGGGGACCCCTGCTTGATCACGGGAGGGTGGCAGCTTGATCCGGGGCAGCCCTCCAAACCGTTGGAGGAAAGACCTGCAATAGCAATATGGCTCGTCACTAAACTGCTGACAGCCAAAATCAAACTTACCATCAAGCACTTTTAAAGCAACATGGATGAAACTGGGTGAGATCTGATCTTCTCTTTAAGATCAAGTATTTTTCTTTTCCTGTAAAAGCTGTCCAAAGTATTTTTCCCCCTATGAGGAGAGAGGGAAGGGAATTTCTGCCCTACCCTCTAAGAACAGCGGCAACTGACTATCCAGGGGAGTTAAAGCACTATAAGAACAATTTCAATCTAATTGGATTTATATGTTTCTGAAATTTGAGGACCAAAAGTTTTCTTATTTTTACTGGAGACTTCAAAAAAGAAATAAAACTGGAAAAAAGGATTATAAAAATTTTGGAGTTAAAAAACATTAAACAGCATTGGTGACATCTTTTGGTGAAGTATGTTATTAGAACTTGTTATTGCCTAAAAGAGACTTGGATTGAAGCCCAGACTTCAGATAAAACTCTTTCCACCTTGACAGATACCACCTGTGATAAATTCAGTTGTAAAGAGAATTTCTGGGTGGCATAATTGGCTTGTTTGAACTATGAATGTAAACTTTTACTGACTTTCAGAACTATATGTGGGGAATTGCTTTCCTATTTCTTTATATGAGAAACATTTGTTATTACATGAAATGACAGAATACCTTGGCCTATAAAATCTTACTTGACAAACAATTTCTACTATAAAGACTACCTATAATACGTGAAATAGAGGTCCCATGCCTAGTTATAAATCATTTTAATGTCTGATTTTAAAGTTCTCAACCTAATACACTATTAAGAGAATATGGATGAAGACCAGGAAAAGATTCTTTCCATGTTGAAAGCAATACATGAAACCATTCTTTCAGCTTGTGACAAAATAAGATGCAACATAAAAAAACAAGAAGCCAGCTTAGATATGCATACCCAAATTTTGACTACAACTAAAGAACTAACAACGCAGAAGATAACAGAAGAAGTGGAATAATCAAATACTAAGACAGAGGACTCAATTGACCAATAAATACAGTTAATGGAAAATCCAGAAAAGGGAGTGACAACACTGAAAATGAAAAAGACTTTTTATATAAATCAGAAGAAATTTGAGGAGAAAGAAGAAATGATTGAATGGAAGATAAACATATCAGGACAATCATGGGAAAGTGGTATAATGGGGAGATGATCTAATGAACACAAATGGGCTAGCCCTTCCAAAAAATGGCAACTAAATGGTCTTTCTTATTTCAAATAATATATACAATAATAGAAGGAGATCTATTTGATGATTTAAAAGCTCTGACATGGAAGGCTAATTGGCAAAGGAAGAAAGCCAGAATAAGGCTGAAGAAAATTGGGGCTTTGATTTATTAGAAGGGATTTCATAAAGAGTTAAAGGAGAAGTTGAGATAAGGGGAATTTTGCTCATTTAATTTAAAATATTTGGAAATCAGTTGAAAATAAGGATTCTATCTGTTTAATATTTAAAACTTAGACCCAAAGGAAAAAAAATATGAATATGTTTGACTTATTGATTAACCCAGACTATATCTATCTATCTATCTATCTATCTATCTATCTATCTATCTATCTATCTATCTATCTATCTATCTATCTATCTATCTATCTATCTGGGTCTTTGGTTATTCGGGTTTTTACCTGCGTAAAATTGGAAGTGTCTTGGCGATGTTTCAATGAAGTCCCATTCGTCATCTTCAGGCTGGTGTTTTCGGCTTCGTGCTTCTAGGAGCAATGTGTGATCGTAGCTGTTTCTTCCTTTTAACTGCCAGTGGGGGTATGAACTGATTGGGTGGGAGCTTGGCTGTGTTCTGATTGGATGGAGGTATGTTCTGATTGGTTAGGGGCTTGGCTGTGCTCTGATTGGATGCGGGAGTGTTCTGTTTAGGTGGGGGCTTTGTTGTGCTCAGGTTAGTCTGAGTTATAGGGGGATTTGAGATGATGGGTTGCGTTGCTGTTGTTTGGCTTCGCATTCGTGGTCGTGCCTCATCTTTATGGTGGGTGTCAGTTTGCTTCATGTATGGATTGGAGCTGTGGTCTGGCTTCTGGTTTGTGGTCGTGCCTCATCATCAGTGTGGGTTTGGGTTTGCTTTTTGCGTGGATGTGTGGTGGTGACATCCTGTGTGGTTTTCGTGAGTGTGGGTCTGGTGTCATTCTTTGTGTTAGGAACTCATTTGTCAATAAGGGTGGGTTTCCAAATGGCTGGTAGGCAGGAGGTATCATCTCATTTGTTTATACTGTGTGGGCGTTTTTCTATCTCGATGGCTTCTCTGATTATTCTGTTATTAAAGTGTTCAGTTTTGGTGATAGTTTTGGTCTTTTAAAAGTCAATTTCATGTCCTGTGGCTTTAAGGTATTGGACCAGGGAAGAAGTTGGTTCCTCTTTTTTGATTGAGTTTTTGTGTTGTTCAATGCATGCACTTATTCTTCTGTTGGTTTGTCCGATGTATGTGGTGGAGCAAGCGGTGCATGGGATTTCATATACTCCTTGATTTTCTAACTCAATTTTGTCTTTGGGGTTTCTTAGGATGGTGGATATTTTTCTGTTTGCGCAGAATGCTGTCTTGATGTTGTGTTTGTGAAGGATCTTGCTGATTCTGTCTGTGGTGCCTTTTATGTATGGGAGGAGGGCTTTGCCATTTTTTTGTTCTCTGTCTTGGATTTTAGTTGGGGTT